TCTCGGAATAGTACCTTGACTTGGTCGCTTGTATGAACCACTGATGCAAAACTGATCGTTTCAACCACTCCGGGTTGGTCCGTACAGCAAACTAAGATGCCAAGCTCTTGTCTGAATTTCTCTCGTAACAGACAGATAAACCGGTTTTTTTTTACTATAAATATCACTATTGTTGCAATGTGCTGAGCAATCGTTGAAAAGTGTGTCACATGACTGGGTTTACTTAATCAGTCAGAGTAAACAAAACAGAAGAATTGATGGTCACATCAAACACCAAAGAATCGACCGGAAACTTGTCTAGGGTTGTCGAAAGAAAACTGCTCACCTCCTGTGTTGTGCAATGGCGCCCAATGATCTAGAAAAAAACCAGTTGTGCCTGAGTTCCAAAGCTGATTCATTGCTAAACGCAAGCTGTCGTGGAGATCATAAGGGTAGATGAGGGATCTTTTCCAGATGAGTCCTGCCACTAATGCAAAAAGTGCATGTGCGAAAAGTTAAGCCCCGCCACTTTTTGCCAGCTCCAATTTAATGTACACACACAACTTTTGATGAAAACAATTCCTTATCTGCATCTAGGCTCATTTTTTGCTAAAATGTTCTCCGTTCAGACGTAAAACCTCAAATAAACTTTCTGACGCTTTCAACTCTCGTTCATGACAAGGAGACGGCAATACTTTTTCTGCAAAGCCACGAAGTGATCCATCAGCAACATTTATGCAACAATCACCACCAAATGACACTTTCAACTGTTTCTGACAGGTGGAGGTGTAATGCCCGACAGTGTCGGCAATAAATCGGTCTTCGAAAGGTAACTTGGCTGGAGTGGTCTAGAATGGAGTTTGAGACAGCAATCCTATTCTTGATTTATTGCTGGTCCAAAAATTGGGCAAAAATCAAATTCTGCTCAAAGGAATTATCTATTAGCCATATGACTGCTGTTGACTGGAAGAACTTTCTTCGCGAAGTTTGCGCCTGGCGGCGGCTTTTGCAGACTCCAACAGTTATCGGTTGCCAAGGTCTACACGTCAAGATCAACGAAACGACTATATTTCGCCGTAAAAACCACGCAGGGCGAGTCCTTCCCCAGCAGTGGATTTTCGGATGGATCTGTCGGGAAACTAAAGAGGTGTTCATATACTGCGCCCGATTGAACTGCGGCCACTTTGATGGACGTAATGCAGTCCTGCATCGCTCCCGGCTCAATCATCATCTCCGATATGTGGGCATCATATCAAGGAATTGAAACGATGATTGACATGAATTATACTCATGAAGCGGTTAATCATGTCGAAAACTTTGTGGAAACAACGACTGAAGCCCACACACAAACCACCGAATCTCTCTGGCACATCTACAAGATGCAGAATAAACGCCAATGCGGCACACACTGATCTGCAGGGGAGAGCTACTTGTGTGAGTTCGTTTGGAGGCAAAGGTACCGAAAAACAGACCTTTTCATGCAAATTACTAATGACATGTTCAAATTTCATCCTCTAATAAAAACTAAAAGCACAAATTTCGTGTCCTCTTTTTTAATATTTTTTTGGTGGCGGGGGTTAATTTTTGGCGGGGCTTATCCAGAAAAGATCCGATATGAGGACGTGGTGTAGTCAATAAAATACTCACAGATTATTGTTCCGCATCATGGGCGTCTATGAATATGATCCAAGATCATATATCTTAGATACCATGTGTCAAACCTATGAGAATGAATTCTTGTGATTAGACAGGCGAGCACAGTCATGTTTCACACCATCGGCGAACGTTGAACAAGTCGCCACATGTTCCAATCCCCAACCTGGAGAGCCAGGAGACTGTGCTTGACCAACCTGGTATGAGAGACTCTGTGGGTGTCGCGGGACACTCCCCAGTATAGCTCAATGGATCGCTGAGGTGCGCAAACCGTCACACCACGGTAAGGTCCAGTCTCTTCGTGATAGCGTTGAACAAGTGTGCTCACAGGATATACACCACACACTGGAAGAAACTTTGATGGGTTGTGAATCGGTGGGCGTTGGAAGGCCATTGTTCCCAGAACCAGGTGAAAAAGATGAAGCTATTCAAATCATCTTTCGACCATTCCATTCCATCTTTCGGCACAACGGTCACTACCTTGAGATATTTTCTGAACCGTCTATCCCGCCAGAGTACAACTAGGACAAGTTCCGATAGTTTGTACTTTTGAGGATGTACTACTGTATGGCTTTCCTTTGGTTGATTCGCGCAAAATCGATGTAGATGTCCCCAATGCGCAACTAAATGTGTCGTCTGAGGTTACCCGATTCCCGGGTTATCGGTGATTTGTCACGCGAGGGCATGCAATAGAGTCGGCGTTTCTTTTCCTCAATTGGGATAAATGTTCAACATTGAAGGCGTGCCATCGCACAACAGATATCGACCGCGTGGGAGAGATAAGTTAGAAACCTGACAGTTCATATAAAATGCCAGAAAAATTGGTGGGCTTCTTTGAAGAACACAGTAAAAAGATAAAACTGTCTGAAAAAAAAACAAAGTGAAAGAAAAGTATGGTTCCTTTGACATTCTATAGCTAACAAAGCCTGGACTTTGCCTGTTACTTTTTACGGTGGGAAGTGTGCATCCCGGCGCCCACGGGAAAAGCTCATCGACGGTACATTAGGTGGGAGTGCCTTCAGGCTTTCACGAGAATTCTCCACAATTGTTCGCTACCCTCCCTAGACCTCACATACCACATGCGTCAGTGTTATTCCAGCCGGAGAGGACAGACTGCAGCGCGTAATCCATACAATGTTTATCCTGCTTCTACCGAAAAAATCGATGAGAACACAGATACTCCAGTAGTGATGTGTGCGTGCGTACTACCCCAGCGAGCCATCACTGCAGTGAACGTGGGCATAAGTAGAAAAAAATAGACACGTGACAAGGCGCTGTTCTCGAGGTTGACCACTTGAGCTCAAACCAACTGACGGTGGTATGCGCGACCCATTAGAAACGCTAACACGGCTTTCAACTAATCACGTCAGTGAGGCTATTGAAGCGGAAATTCATCGGAGGGGATCCTTAGAAAGATGGATGAAGAGGAGGACAGTCAAATATTTGGAGGTTCCGCAACCAAGACAAGTAGAATTCACGTTACACTTCCGTGAAGTCCAGGACATCGGTATCGGATCCAAAGCTGAGGCAAACTAAGTTCTACAGGAATCACACTACCAGATAGCCATGGCTACCGAAAATCGTTTTTCCTCGTGTGTTTACTGGTAGAATATGCATTTCCGCATCTCCATCGGGACAATGTTATCACCATTAGGTTGAAATTCGGGCTTGCTACACAATTGTACACAAGACAGACGACTCTCAATGACTAGAATATACGGGTCATGTCTTCGCACAAGTTCAAAGCAATCACTTCGGACTGTCATACTGATACCCTCGGTAGTCTGACTCAGCAACGACAGGTGTTTGACTGTCGTAAGCTGTCATATCTGCTGATTCGTCAATCGTGGTATCTGCCGCTGACCCGCTCCAGTGCCTAGTTGCCGAAAAAAAGACCCACAGAAGGGAACACAACCGCTATATTTCGAACAAGCGAGTGTGAATGCACAACGGTCTCAAGCTATTTATTGGAGGGACACTGCCTGAACTTGGTCCAATGCTGACGCACACGTCTAACTTTGGTACGAGGCTGTTACGTGCTGTATACTGCGGTGGCGTTGTCTGGCTTTGACCAGCGCTGAATCTCGCTGTCTGGGTTTGATACAGAGCTGCGACGCACTGCACGTTGAGGTGATGTCTCTCTGGTCAACGTGCTGAGTGTCTCGGTAGGTTTCGGGCATTCAGTGGCTGCTATCAGGAATCTGACCTTCCTGATATAAGCCATGTTCAATCGGCTAAAATAATGCCTTTTTATGAAACACGGGCCTAGGGTTGACCTACCATGAACATCGGTGTGATCACACTCCCAGCGCTCAGTCAGACAGACTGAAGGAAAACCGACGGCCCATCTTATATCTTTCGGTGTGTCTAGCAAAGCACATGGACGGCCTTGCGGAACCTTCCCATAGGGCACGGTGCACTGACGATTTCTTCCCAAATGGGTAAGAGACGTTTGAAAGCCAATTGCCAAGCCCGACAAATAGATTAACGGTCACCTGATCAACTGACAGAAAATGTACTGAATGCTAATATTCAATGTTTTATTCATTTCTTAAAGTGAACTGTGTCTGAGACCAGCTTCATCAACGGTATAAATAGCTGACTTCAAAATCCACTGGACCAGTTCTGCGATGCCGTTCATCCTACAACTAAATTTTAAGCAAGACCGGTTTTCTGGGAATAATACAGTGGGTTCGTCTGATTCTAGAAGTCTAGATGATCAAGATACGATTCCGTTGCATATTTTGTTGGAATAAAAGACACCGCACTCGTTTACTGACTTATAACTAACACAGCCTGCCATAACCCACTCGTCAAACGAATCTGACACAATAGGGGCAGTTAGCTAAGAAACACGTAAACACAAAGGCGGACAGATCATGGATTACGGGAGTAGGAACAATTCAGGTGATCGCATAATATCGATCCACAACCAAGTAGTTACCGATACGACGTTGTGACCAAAGCGTCGGCAGAAACTGACAAAAATTGGAAGGATTCAAAGAGACATTGCCGACACCAGGCAACATAGAATGCACAGATGAACACAAACTAGGATAGCCTCGAACTTCCAGGTGTCCTCACGGTAGGCAGTGACCAGCGAGTAAACCAAACAATGACTTATCTTACCCCCGAAAAACAACCCAAGCTCCTATCCCTTATCGCTTTAAAATGTCTTCAAGCACACAAAAGCAATGTCATATGGCTATTTTATTGATGGTATACATTCATACCTTATCTGATTACTCCGTGACAAAAATCATGCCACTTTTCGTGTAGTTAGATCACAGGGTCACACACACTCCCAAAACAAGTCGCCCACAGTGTCATAGGAAGAACCAGTACAGCAATATAGACAAAGTATTTTACCACGGCACGTTTGTTCACCATAAACATTAGTGAGGGTGGGGGATGGGAATGCACATTACCCGGGGCTCTGCAGTATGATGACGGGCTGTGCGCGCAGACAAGATGAAAAGCCAGAATACATAAGAACAAGTGTTTTTTGCGTACGCAATATGAAACAAAACGATCTTGTGCACGAGACCCGCTGGGGTGGAGGACAGGGAACCCAGCCGAAGGACGCGGTCTCATAGAGGAAGCACTAAATCCACGGTGGGAAGGATGGGGGGAGGGAAATACTGCGATCCTACGGTCAGACGAAGAAGGATCGGCGCAATCGGATGGTAGGCTCAAAAGAACAGCCAGCCTTTTAAGCTGGGGTGAAGCACTGACTAATCTACGGTGGTATGGCACAAAGTGGAAAACACACAAAACGTGCGAGGCAGGAGATGTGTGCAGTCCGATCGGAAGTGTGCATCAGGTGATGAAATAAGAAAACAAGTTCACTATATCGAGAGAGAGAGGGAGAGAAAGGAGAGGTTTTCAGGAGCACTAATGCTTGTGTACAGTCTACAAAGAGGGTGACACAGCTATCACAGACCCACAATGACTCACTGACGGAGAGTGCCCAACGTCTGGAGACAACCGAAACGTCGTAACACGGGGAGACAAGTGGACACGAGAAGCTAGAACTCCGAGAAGATCATTCACGCAAGAACTGTGGAACGAAACAACTTTCAAAGGAGGGAAACAGGCGAGGATAAATACCGTTGGTGCAAAAACGGCGAGCGGGAATGAACGTACATGGACACACAAAAAAGGCACCGTATATTAATCAATAGAGATGCTAGAAGATAAGGGTTGAGAAAAATAGGAAATGGGCCGCCTGCTTGGATGAAATGCAATGCAAAATCGACAAAGACTGTGCGCCCCGATTCGCAAGAACGTGAAAGATGTTTTGCTGCAGGGCAACCATTGAAGTGATTTGCGGTGAGTATGGTAGGTATGTGTCTTTGAGTGGTGCATCACAACGGCTGTGGGAAATGTGTCGACTGGGGAGCGGAAAACAGGAAATATGTTCACGGGACGGAGTGGTTTTACAGATAAAGATCGATCACAACTGGCCTAGCTATGGAGTGTTCGGTGTGGTGACCGGTTTGTGCCTGTGTGCGTGTGTGAGAGGGAGCTGAACCGAGGTTTGTCTGAAGCGGAACAATACAAACACAGTAGTTCCTCAAGGTGCTGTTCAGCATGACCGAACACCATGGGGATCAATTCAATTTATGACAGGTATGCCTGGGTTTCTTCGTCACTGTCTGGTCAGAGTGAATATGGTAGGGGAGAGAAGGACGCTTTCTACAGATTCCACCATTCTCACTACCATCAGTGCAAGTGGCTGATGAAGTAGGAAAGTTGGAGTGGGGAACTGCGATCGGTGACTTCAGCTTGGCCCAAACGGCCGCGGTGAAGTCACGTTCTACGCGGGGACGTTTCGAGGACGAGTGAGCCGGTTCGCAAGTGGCGATTGGCCTTGTTACTTGATCGCACATTTGCGAGACGGTCAATCCTGAGTTCGAAGGGGTGTCGGAATCGGGTGGATTAGTATCGTCACGAATTCCCTCGTAGTCAGGCTCTTCCTGTGAAAGCAGAAGACGCTGCCATGAAGGGATGTCTGAGATAGGCGAACCAGACCAGGAGTGAGTTGGCTTGGTCTCCCGTGGGGGCAATGCAGCCACCATTGCTTCATCATAGCCATCACCCCAAACGTTGGGATCTAAGGCAGGATGTGTTGTAGTTAGGAACTGATCAGAAGGCGGCCATCTTAAATAGGACTGTGGAAGCGAATTAGTGGATTTCGCCTGCTCGGAGGGTCGTTCATCTGACACGGAAACAGGACAGAGCGAGGAATGAGTATCTCGGAACTGGACGTGCAAATGAATACCACGACGCTGAAGTTTGAGAGGGTGTGAAGCGGTTTGTATCTCGGACAAAACCTCGTAGAATTGATCTGCTTGATCTGACTGACGGGGTTCGCTGCCACGTAGGAAGGAACAGCAGATTTCGTGGATCCATGGGATATCAGTCACTAGGTCCCAGTTAGCGCCTGAAAATAAGTGAACGAATGGAAGTAAACGTAGTCTTAGAAATGAACTGGGATAGCCTGTTCACCTGAAATTGGGACAGAAAAGACATCACAAACTCGTGGAGAAAGTCCATCAGTGGTGTTGACATTGTTTAGCCTGTGATTCCAAAAATCTCAGGACGAGCTCAGACAGATGCTTAGGTGACAGCTCCATACAAACTCCTCTCGAACAGACCATCTGTTCGCGGTCCTCGACCAGGAATTCAATGCCATAATGTCACCGGTGTTCTTATTGTTCGTCTCACCGGACTACGTGAACAAATAGGACATGTCAACAGCTATTGAGCCCTATAAGTCCACTTCAAACGGTGAGTCGATAACACCACTCAAATGCTTCACGGGTTAGAAAGCTGTTCCAAAAAAACCGTCCGCAAGCAACTCAATCAATCAGTGAGGATAAAACATTAGAAATTTGCTTCTTAACACAACATATGTGTACATGGTGGAACTCTACAGTGACTTAAAAGCGCGATTTCGAAAAGTATAGCTCAAAAAACCGCAAGTTTGGTCAGCAGTTTTCGAAATAAGAAAATAAGCCGACTGTTTGTATTCTGTGTGGTTTTAATCTCATTGGAGCAATTCGAAGTGGATAGATTATCGGGAAGGAAGAATGTCCTGATGCTCCGTTGCTCTAAATCGGACAGAACAGGACAAGGGGGGGAGGTGATCGTCTGCCTAGACAAACCATGACCATGAGGGAATATCCAACACGTCTGAAGAGCCGTAGATAATATTCGGGAAGTGGATTGCAGTGTCTTAATACAGATTCTCTATCTTCATGACATGGGGGGGGGCAGTACGACTGCCTTAATAATAACACAAGGTCAGAGATGACCGATTAACTAACCCGGAGGTAGATCACTCTCATTGCATTCGTCCCCATGGATTAGGCAGGTGGAAAATTGCCATTATGCTGATTGTTACGTCATCCTTGAAACAATCCTCAGAGGTTCTCCTGTGGCCTTGCTCTTCCAGTCCTGTTCCGACTCCAGCGCCGAAGGACACGGACAACAACTGTTACGTCTAACCTAACCCAGCGCTTCGACACAGCCAAGAAAATTTGGACACGTTGGAGATATCGTCGTACCATCATGGATAGAAGACTAACCCGACCCACTAAAATAGCTGTGCACAACCACACGGTCACTTATACACGAATTTGAACATTTCCACACTCTCCGTGGCAATATTCACTTCACTCTTGAAGGACTGGCCATGGGGAAATACAGTAGCCCCGAGGGCAGCAATGGGAAGCAAGCCTTTCGGCCTATCCTGGAAGAAATTGAGTTAAGGGTTAGAGCAGGCTAATAGTAGGTAGAAGCACTAACTGTACATCTATCGAGTGCGTGGGTTATATGGTTTCTAGTCTCAAACGAATGTCACGGCTTTTACGGTCCTGCTGGTTTGCCACGTAGGCTCCAGGCTCATTCGTGGTGAAAAATGTCGAATATCATCGGACTACTTCCATTAATAAGTAGGTAGACAACACAATTTACACGATGGCCACGTGATGCAACCTCGAGAGAGCTTGTCGAGATGCAAAGTCAGTGGACACCTCACGTAGACGGAAAGAAAACAGACGTTTCGCTGTTCACTTGGTCTGAGGCGAAATAGGATCTGCTCACCAGGTTATAGTTGAAAAATTCTAGTACGCCACACCCACTAAGTGAGGGAGAGCGGAAAATTCATGGAACCAGAAAATAAAGACGCCACTTACCGTGCTCTGAGCGTCGGAAACTGGATGGAGACGACAGCGCAGTGTTTGGTTTCGGATACACTTGCAGTAGTTCTCGACGAACAAGCATACTAGGCGAAGTAGTGGGAAGAGGGGTGAAAACAATTGAATAATAAGCTTGCCAAACATATACACGCAGAGGAGAAACACGAATGACATTCTATTATTCATATGGGAGACTCGCCAATGATAGCCTGGAATTTGAAGACGGAAGCATTGAAATT